TTTAAAGAGTCATCTCCCACAAGCTAAGTGGCAGCACTGACAGAATTTGTAGCTCTCAGCATGCCTCACCTGGGTATCCAGCTGGTTCCAATTTTTTCTCAAAAGAACTTAAGACACAGTCATTGCTCAAATCTTTTGAGTCTTCATCTTTTTCTTGGAGAAATGGGCCTCCCATTTGCCAGTCTCTTGTTGTTGTTCAATGCCTCACTGACAGACTAGGCCTCAAACCTTCTACCCAAGACTTCCCTTACAGGTGCTGTCAACCATTCAGTTTCTCCTATTCACTGCCTGCTTCCAGCTGTAAGATCTCTTCTTCCTCTTCAGAAGATGACTGCGCAAGGTATGGTATGACAGCCTGCTACTCAGATTTACTGGTCTAAAAAAATCTATCACACAACTTTGTTTTTGAATTTTGTGCAATTACCACATGGTGTTTTCAGTTTTTGTTACATACCAAAAAGTTCACCAAAGAAGAAAAGAATCTGGCAATCTAAACACCTGTTGAATTAAATTTTAGTTTGTCTGATTTTTCTTACTTCTATTTTTTTAACCTCCTTCATGGATTGCTGCCTTGTCGTGGCGAAGGGGCTTGAGTAACTCAGAGAAACTATGGGCTATGCCGTGCAGGGACACCCAAGACGGACAGGACATAGTGGAGAGTTCCGACTAAATGCAATCCACCTGGAGTAGGAAATGGCAAGCCACTCCAGTATCTTTGCCAAGAACGCCCCATGATCAGAAACAAAAGGCTAAAAGATATGACGCTGGAAGATGGGCCCCTCAGGTCGGAAGGCGTCCAACATGCTACTGAGGAAGAGCGGAGGACAAGTACAAGTAGCTCCAGAGCTAATGAAGTGGTTGGGCCAAAGCCGAAAGGACGCTCAGCTGTGGACGTGCCTAGAAGTGAAAAACGTTGGGAAGCTGGAGGTGGTCAAACAGGAGATGGCAAGAATAAACTTTGACATCCTGGGCATCAGTGAACTAAAATGGACAGGAATGGGCGAATTCAGCTCAGATGATTATCATATCTACTATTGTGGGCAAGAATCCCGTAGAAGGAATGGAGTAGCCCTCATAGTCAACAAAAGAGTGGGAAGAGCTGTAATGGGATACAATCTCAAAAATGATAGAATGATGTCAATACGAATCCAAGGCAGACCTTTCAACATCACAATAATCCAAGTTTATGCACCAACCAGCATTGCTGAGGAGACTGAAATTGAACAATTCTATGAAGATTTACAACACCTTCTAGAACTGACACCAAAGAAAGATGTTCTTCTCATTCTAGGGGACTGGAATGCTAAAGTAGGGAGCCAAGAGATAAAAGGAACAACAGGGAAGTTTGGCCTTGGAGTTCAGAACGAAGCAGGACAAAGGCTAATAGAGTTTTGTCAAGAGAATAAGCTGGTCATCACAAACACTCTTTTCCAACAACACAAGAGGCGACTCTATACATGGAAATCACCAGATGGGCAATATCGAAATCAGATTGATTATATTCTCTGCAGCCAAAGATGGAGAAGCTCTATACAGTCAGCAAAAACAAGACCTGGAGCTGACTGCGGTTCTGATCATCAGCTTCTCATAGCAAAATTCAAGCTTAGACTGAAGAGATTAGGAAAAACCACTGGGCCACTCAGGTATAATCTAAACCAAATCCCTTATGAATACACAGTGGAAGTAAAGAACAGATTTAAGGAACTAGATTTGGTGGACAGAGTGCCTGAAGAACTTTGGATAGAGGCTCGTAACATTGTCCAGGAGGCAGCAACGAAAACCATCCCAAAGAAAAGGAAATGCAAGAAAGTAAAGTGGCTGTCCAACGAGGCCTTAGAAATAGCAGAGAGGAGAAGGGAAGCAAAATGCAAGGGAGATAGGGAAAGTTACAGAAACTTGAATTCAGACTTCCAAAGAATAGCAAGGAGAGACAAGAGGGCCTTCTTAAATGAACAATGCAAAGAAATAGAGGAAGATAACAGAAAAGGAAAGACCAGAGATCTGTTCAGGAAAATTGGACATATTAGAGGAACATTTTGCGCAAAGATGAACATGATAAAAGACAAAAATGGGAGGGACCTAACAGAAGCAGAAGACGTCAAGACGAGGTGGCAAGAATACACAGAGGAATTATATCGGAAAGATTTGGATATCCCGGACATCGCAGACAATGTAGTTGCTGACCTTGAGCCAGACATCCTGGAGAGTGAAGTCAAGTGGGCCTTAGAAAGCCTGGCTAACAACAAGGCCAGTGGAGGTGATGGCATTCCAGTTGAACTATTTAAAATCTTGAAAGATGATGCTGTTAAGGTGCTACATTCAATATGCCAGCAAGTTTGGAAAACTCAACAGTGGCCAGAGGATTGGAAAAGATCAGTCTACATCCCAATCCCAAAGAAAGGCAGTGCCAAAGAATGCTCCAACTACCGTACAATTGCACTCATTTCGCACGCTAGCAAGGTTATGCTCAAAATCCTGCAAGGTAGGCTTCAGCAGTATGTGGACCGAGAACTCCCAGAAGTACAAGCTGGATTCCGAAGAGGCAGAGGAACTCGAGACCAAATTGCTAACTTGCGCTGGATTATGGAGAAAGCCAGAGAGTTCCAGAAAAATATCTACTTCTGCTTCATTGACTATGCGAAAGCCTTTGACTGTGTGGACCACAGCAGACTATGGCAAGTTCTTAAAGAAATGGGAGTGCCTGACCACTTTATCTGTCTCCTGAGAAACCTATATGTGGGACAGGAAGCAACAGTTAGAACTGGTCATGGAACAACTGATTGGTTCAAAATTGGGAAAGGAGTACGGCAAGGCTGTATATTGTCCCCCAGCTTGTTTAACTTATATGCAGAATACATCATGCGGAAGGCTGGACTGGAAGAAACCCAAGCCGGAATTAAGATTGCCGGAAGAAATATCAACAACCTCCGATATGCAGATGATACCACTCTGATGGCAGAAAGTGAGGAGGAATTGAAGAACCTTGTAATGAGAGTGAAAGAGGAGAGTGCAAAAAACGGTCTGAAACTCAACATCAAAAAAACTAAGATCATGGCCACTGGTCCCATCACCTCCTGGGAAATAGAAGGGGAAGATATGGAGGCAGTGTCAAATTTTATCTTCCTGGGCTCCATGATCACTTCAGATGGAGACAGCAGCCCTGAAATTAAAAGGCGCCTTCTTCTTGGGAGGAAAGCGATGACAAATCTTGACAGCATCTTGAAAAGCAGAGACATCACCTTGCCAACAAAAGTCCGAATAGTCAAAGCTATGGTTTTTCCTGTCATGATGTATGGAAGTGAGAGCTGGACCATAAAGAAAGCAGACCGCCGAAGAATTGATGCCTTTGAATTGTGGTGCTGGAGGAGGCTCTTGAGAATCCCCTGGACTGCAAGGAGAACAAACCTATCAGTTCTAAAGGAAATCAACCCTGAATGCTCACTTGAAGGACAGATCCTGAAGCTGAGGCTCCAGTACTTTGGCCATCTCATGAGAAGAAAAGAGTCCTTGGAAAAAACCTTGATGTTAGGAAGGTGTGATGGCAAGAGGAGAAGGGGACGACCAAGGATGAGATGGCTGGACAGTGTCTGCGAAGCAACCAACATGAACCTGACACAACTCCAGGAGGCAGTAGAAGACAGGAGGGCCTGGCGTGCTCTGGTCCATGGGGTCACGAAGAGTCGGACACGCCTAAGCAACTAAACAAAAATTCAGTGTTTCCCAACCTGGAGGGCTGTGATCCTAACCACAGAATTTCCCTAGCAGCATGACTATAGGAAAAGATGTTTATCAAAGTATGTATCTCTGAATCTGAGATTGAGAAGTCCAAAGACTGGAAGTACAAAGGTAAGCTACAAGTCATATGTCAGGTTCACTGGTCTGTCATACAACTGGCATTGCATTTTGTAAAACTCTTTGAAAGCTGGGTTGTATATTGATAAAAAGAACCAATGGGTTTCATGATTGTGTGCATAGAAGAAGCAGTCTATAAGAACACCAGGAAAGCACTAAAACCTAGAGCAGTAGCCATTTTCACATCACGTTTTGCTTTTTTTACAGTTTTAATGCTCTCGTTAAATATTTTCCCCAAAAACACTGGTTTCATATCACAACACGTTATAAAGTTTGCAACACTTAATATATAAATGGGTTGTATAAATAGACTCTCAGTGATAAACACTTGATTGTTTTAAATTATGACAAATTGTTTACAATATTTGCACAGTCACATATGAGGGCGGGGAACTCTATTAGTTCTTTGAACAGTCTGAAAAGAGAAGGCAGCACCAGTCAAGAAATATTTTAGGCATCTTCCCCCCCCAAATAAAATGCATTTTATTTATAATTCTTGTATTAATGTTCAATAGATAGTTATGCCATTGCTTAGGAATAAATCTAATTCTGTTTTTTTAAAAAGGCATGCATCCAGAATTCTTGTCCAAATCTCAAATTAATTACAGATTTTGTACAAATGAAGAAAAACAGGAAGGACTACCATCTAAAAAGGAAGTGCTGAGAAAAATTCAATCACAATACAGAAGTGCATTTCTCTGCTTGCTCATGCCGTTAGCCCAGAATGACAGTTGTAGTTTTCAACGTATGCCTAACAGATAAGCCTTTTAAAAAGATCCTGTGTTCTTCTGAGGCCGAAAAAGAGAGAGATGTAAACACAGAGGGTACGTTTCTGCATATAATTGTCATATGAATTATGTTTCCATAAAACAATACTAGGATGGTTTTCGTTGCCTAAAGCACAAGGCCAGAAAGCAGCAGGAGTAGCTCCACAAGCACTGGACATTGGAAACAACAGTTTCACGTCTTAGCAACAGGTTAAGAATAGAAAAGGCCAGAGATGACTGGATAAGCAAAGGAGGAGGATAAAAAACATCCTCAAAGATTGCTAAATTGAAGTAAAAATAATATTAATAGATATATTTTCATTAATTTCTATGCAAACACCTTTGTGAGATTTCACTCTCTCACACGTTAAACAAGCTTACCTCTCTCAAAACAGGATCTGCTATTGAGCTGAGATTGACCGCCCCTTCATAGGTTAAATAGTAGAACACATTGAGGGATCTGACAGCTTCAGGCCCTTGCTGCTTGTAGCCAAAAATCAGATCAATCCACTGGTGGAGTTGGCAGGAAACAAATTCACTCTCCAACGCCTGCAACAGAACACAATGTTGTTGTTTATATGGTTTTTGGAACCTGACCGCCATCTAGATAATAACTGTTATTATGTGCCCTCAAGTCAGAACCAACTTACTGCAATCCCAATGGAGTTTTCAAGGTAAGTAAGTCATTTAAGGCATGGTTTCACACCCCCAATGAGCTTCTATGGCTGAACAGGAATTCAAACTCAGGTCTGCTGAGTCCTAGCCTGTCACTCAAAGTATTACATCAAACTGGGTATCCCAGATAATACATAATTACACATACCTATCTTTCCCTAGAGAGTGAAAATATTTTACAAACTGTAAACAATTTGCTAATAGTTGGTGCTGTTAGTGCATCCATTAATTAGTTAATTAATCATGGTATTTACATATCACTTGATATAATATCTCTAAATTAAAAATAGAAACATGTTACTAGATAGAAAATATAATACAAAACTAGAAACAATTTGCAACTAATAAATAATTACGAATACTTTAACTGGTAAATTTTGACTAGTCACACTATATGGCTTGGTAACATAATGCAATTCTGTATATCTTCCTGGCAGGGCTATAATACAGGCTGGCAGCAAAGTCTGTTCTTGTATAAGAAAAGAATGGTAACAGGGAAAGAAAGACAAGATAAGATTCTTCTTAAAGAACAGTGGATAATTTAATGCACAATGCCTAAGTAATAACATACAACTCTGACTGAAAGTGATGGGGACTTCTGGCAAGCACAACAGAAGTGAAAAAAAGGTATACTGCTGCTTTTAAGACACTGAATTGCTGCCTTCCCTTTCTCCCATACAGTTCACCAGCTGGAAAAGGACCAGAATATGAAAATATAAAAGAACAGTTGTTGGTACCAGCCTTTCATGACATGGACTACCATGAAATTGTTACAGAGACAATATTTTAACCCCTGCTTAGTAACTCGTTTCTAGTTACTAAACTAGGTTTACTTCCAGTGTGTGTTGTAGGACCAGCATTTTAATAGCTTTAGTCACAATCCACAGAACTGGTTTCACACAGAGAAGCACATACAGAACACATAACTGAGGGCCTAATCCTACTGACAATACTACTATTGAATCAGGTTCTGCTTTTTTTTTAAACACACACACATTTAAATGATATTAAAGGAAGCACAGATTATTTATTTATTTATTTATTTTTATTTATTTATTTATTTATTGCATTTATATGCCTCCCATCTAGACATGGTCTACTCTGCCATAGCATAGGCATCCTTCAGTCTTGAGAGACTATGGTAACATGCTCTGTATGGAGGACTTGGAACAGCGTCTAGTGTTTCAACACTGTATGCGAAGCTGGAGTGTCCTCTTCAGGGCACGAAGCCTGAGAAGCATGTTTTCTAGTTGGAAATACTAGAACTGACATAAAATACTCTTCCACTAGATGGTCATTTATTTTAGCATGCATGTGAAACCTGATTCCAATTATTTCCACATATGTAAACCCCTCCGTCACTGCAAATTGCACCTTTGGCTAACCAGTGGAGGTGGCAGAAGAGGTGACTGCTGCTACAAGAGCCACAACTGGGGGAAGGAAGGATGGACAGGTGGAGGGAGCCTGAGAGGAAGGGGAAGGATGGACAGGCGGAGGGAGCCTGAGAGGAAGGGGAGGTCATGACCAGTCCTTCTCTCATGGCCATTCCCTACTCCTGCTCTAGGTTATTTCCCTCCTTGGCAAGCACTCTCTCTGGTCAGTTCCAGCTCTTGCTTCCTGGTTTGCCTGGGCACAAACAGTGATTCAAATAGCGTCTAATGTCAGATGACTCAGAGTTAATTTAAATTTATACTGATACATAATCTGAACTATTGGTTTAATATAAACAGGCCCTGAGCAAAGAAACTACTTTTGTGTGCACGTGAGAACATCTGACATGCTCAACCCTTGGTAACCTGGATTACCTCATCATATATTTTCCTGACTCATGTCCAGTTAGATGATTAGGCAAAGCAGAGATTTAACAAATTACCTATCTGGAACATAGCTTCCTGAATCCTTCCACCAGCGTATATATTAGCCATGCCGGCTGGGTAGCTCTGAGTGCTATCATTCAAAGAAAGTAACTTCTCAAATCTCTGAGGCAGTGAATTGGAGGATGAGAATGATGGCAAAGTGTGCCATGTGGACTGCCCTAGTCCTCCTTACAGACTGCTTCCTTTCGTTGTGGTGAAGGATAATGAGTTATTGCTTATACTGAAATAAACTTTAGCTGACAGTTTGATTAGTTTCTGTATGTGGAATAGGAGAAACTTCACCTCACCCTTTACATTCGACAACAACATTTCTTTCTCTTATAAGCATTTACTCTTCATTTCAAAACAGGGTTGACCTGCACACATATTTCTTTGTGTGTTTAAAGCTGCCTGTTGGTGAGATCAGTTGCAACACCTCTGTGTTGAATGGAATAAATGTAAAAGCACAATCTTCGGATCTGCAAGAGTTCCATTCCATGATCTACTGCAAATGCCTGAAACTATGGATAGTAGTGCACCCCACATGCAACATAGGAGGAGGTGGGGAAAAGGCCACAAGCCCCTCCCCTTTGTATGTTGTATATAGGACTTGGATAAACTATGGATAGCTGAAACTGCAAATACTGATCCTATGGATACGAGAGCAGCTGTATTGAATAATGCAGTCTCCAAGTGTTATTAAGGAAGCTGTGACATACATTACAAAACAGAAACAAAAATCACATGCAACATAGGAGGAGGTGGGAAAAAGGCCACAAGCCCCTCCCCTTTGTATGTTGTATATAGGACTTGGATAAACTATGGATAGCTGAAACTGCAAATACTGATCCTATGGATACGAGAGCAGCTGTATTGAATAATGCAGTCTCCAAGTGTTATTAAGGAAGCTGTGACATACATTACAAAACAGAAACAAAAATAAAGATAAAATCATAGAATAAAAAATTAATATCAGCATTTTGGAGAGGAGAAATAAAACAAGTTGTAAGAGCAGTTTGTTTCTAAATAAAATTGTGTACGTTTGTGTGTGTGTTAGTAAGTACGGATGAAATAAGACAAAGAAGGAGGAAATGATATAGATATAGATATAAACTGAATAGAAGTTAAGAATGGTATTCTTTTCAAGGAACACCTAATTTAGTCTGGGAAATGTACGCAAACCCTGGGAAAATACTCTGTAGTTTGCATACAGGAATGATTGGTTAGTTTCATTAACTGATGCCTGGAGAAACATTTAAATTGACACATAAAACCCCGCAATTGTCTTAATTTGTGTGGCACACTCCACACAAAAGCTCTAAATATGTTCAAATTAGAGCAAGCTGCTTGATTGTCACTGCAATCTCATGTCATGTTAATGCATGACAAACATTAAACCATACACTTAAACGGCAATTTATATCATTTAAATGTTTACTGCCTGAGCAACTCATCACTCATTTAAATGTGATTTTCTGACAGCTAATTTCAGTTAATTTTCTTCTATTCACTTAATTAGAACTTTCAATCAAGAAAGGGTCTATCCATATCTTCATGTTCATATCATTTTTTTCATTTAGATGCTCCGTTAGTGAATCGCAACAAACAATTCATGCTGATACTATTTTTTTCATTTAAAAGCACAGTTAGCAAACTACTATGAACACCTCTTATAACAGATGACTTGACAGTATAGCAAATCATTCTCTTCTGTCCAGTCACCAACAAAAATACATGAACATATGGGAAAAATATATAGCTACCAGGGAAGCTACCCTTATTTATCTAAGCAATACCCGGGCTGGTAGTTTCTATTAAAAAAAACGAGTCATAAACACTCACACAATTAAAACTATAAAGAACAGCCAATCCAATTAAATATTAATGATTTCAAAATTGTTTAATAAGTTAAAAACAGTGAGAACCTTCATGCGTATCCCCACAGCATTTCACTCTGAGGCTATAAAATTTCATAAGCAAATGACAATCATGTGCATTCATTTTTTGTTATTGCTTTCTTTCCAGAAACAATTAAGTGTCACATTGCTAATTCATCATTTGTCTTGTACCTAGTTCATTTTTAAAAAAAGGTTAGGTGTGAAAAGGAAAGACATGCTCAAAATGTAAAATCCACATGGGTTACTCTGCTCTAAAATCCTACATGCTAAATTCCCAAAGTAAATGTCATAATGCCAATGATCAATACTTGCTATACTGTTCTGCAGTCATTCCAAATTCTACCTCGCGCGTCCTCACTAAACCCTTGCAATGGAGCCTCAACAACCCTGAACATTCATTCAGGAATGTGGTATCTATTTATTTATTTATGTCATGTTCTTCTTACCAAGTGAACATAGAAATATATATTTAGGCAAAATATACTAGAAGCACAAAGCTATAAAGGTCTACTCAGAAATAATTCCTGCTATGTTGAGTGTACAAAATTGCTGCCTAAACCTATAAACATAAGAAAACAGCAGTGGATTAGCCAAGAATTATTTTTTTTCCTTCTCACTGCAATGAGATAATTCCATATACTTTTGCCATTTGACACAAACATGCACCTGTGATGGCTAAACATAAAGCGATTAAATGTAACAGGAACATGTTCAGAACTATGAAGCCAAAAAAGTTATATTTCTGAAAAATATATATTTATATTTCATAGATTTTTATTAACCATTATACAGTAAATATTAAAAAATCAGTTACAGTTGAAGCAGATTATAGGAACTTGAAAGGCAGCACAAGGATGATTACAACAGATATACAAATTGTATAAATTCAAATAGGTGGCAGACTGAAAGAGCAAATTCTCTCTTTAAATCTCAAACTACAAAATTTATTCTTCAACCTACAAAAACTGTGATTTTTCTAAAACTAAAGGAAAACTACTGAGGTCTAAACATTTAGGATCACTCAAAGCCTCCTAGACAGACAATGCTCATTAAAACTACCGTTAAACAGAGTGTGCAGCTAGGGGATACTAACGTTCTTTCCCCTTGCTGCTCTTAACCC